GAACTGTTAGTGGAAACTCCTTGAATTTGAATTTAAAATAGGAACTACCAGGTGCAGTTGCATTCCTCAAAATACCAGGTGGTGTCATATGTGACACCATCTTTACGACATGCCACAAAAGCCCAAGTGGTGTCATATGCGACGCCATCTTTACAACATGCCACAAAAGACCAGGGGGTGTCATATGTGACACCATCTTTACGACATGCCACAAAAGCCCAAGTGGTGTCATATGCGACGCCATCTTTACAACATGCCACAAAAGCCCAGGTGGTGTCATATGTGACACCATCTTTACAACATGCCACAAAAGCCCAGGTGGTGTCATGTGTGACACCATCTTTGCAACATTCCCTAAAAGACCAAGTGGTGTCATATGTGACACCATCTCTACAACATGTCACATGAAGCCAGGAGGTGTCATACATGAAAGTATTCAGTCAGGGGAAATTTGGAGAGACAGGCCTCTAAGACCAGATGGTGTCATATATAAAACCATTTTCAATGCTTACCAAGACAGATACTTTTTGGGCCAAAATGATCTTAATGTGATTCCTTCACCCTGCCACTATCTGGAGGAATTCATGTGAATGTGCTCAAATGAACCGTATCAGCCTTACTTGGTTGCAATAAATGGTTTTTTGTAAAGAAACATTGAAATCATATGAAATAGTTAAAGAAATTTTCAATGGTATCACGTATGACACCACCTGGTCTTTTGAGGAATGCAACAACACCTTGTAATTCCAGTATTGAGGCAAAACTGGTTTGAAAAATTTCATTCTGATCAGCCAATTCCATTTCTCAGGTTTCTAATCAAACCTGGAGAACTCTGAAGAGGGAGACCTTCAATATGAAAAATTTTCCAAGTGAATAAGAAGAAAAGCTCACTTGCTCCGGATGTTTAATTTTTACAACGCGAACCGTAAACCAAATTATGGAATTATCTGCGAAGTTTAGTTTGTAAATTCTTCAAAATTCTGCCAACTCCAATATTTATTTAGGTTTTCTGCGTCCAAATTCGACGAAAATAGTAAAATCGACGAAAGATGTTCCAAAAATAAGCGCGTTTTCGCCGCCAGCGAATGGTGATT